TTAGAGATTTTATCTATCTATTTAGCTATGATTTACGTCGTGCCATATCTCAAATTTAATACTGGTAATAAAATAAACATTTACATCGTAATATACTCTAAGAAGATAACTGATTGCAGTAATACGTTAACGCAACGTACTGCAAGAGATCTTGCTTTTATAATGACAATAGTATTACACATTTTATATATTATATTTGGTTTGATGGCATTGCATCAGATATGAAGCCATTTATATTTTCGAATAGAAAATTGTTGTAAATATATAGAAAACGGATCAATTAAGATTAACAATAAATCAGACTGGGCCTCCGAAGTTATTACTGATATGTGATTACCTCTGACTCGCCAAATTTGTCTATGACCCACGAAAATGTCTGAGACATAAATTTTATCTAAGACTTGGCCGGAGTTTTAGCACAGGTGTGGAAGTGTCTCGTGTGAGTAAGGACGGTCTTTAAAACTACTTTACAATTTTACACAATTTTGAAGATTATTCTACTTCGAATATGATAGAAAAAATAAAAGACCCTTTTGATTTATTGTCAAACATTAATTTAGTAATTTTCTATTCACGTCCGCAGGGACTAATTTTGTCCAAACTTGTAAGGACTGTTAAATTTGTCCTTATGTAAATTTTCCTCTGTTTAAGTTTGTTTTTTTCCTCTGTATAAGTTTATTATAATAAGAAAAGCTTCGGGACCTCTTTTGATATATCATCAAACGTTAATTGAGCCATCTCCAGTATTTTTATTGCTGTTTTATTTTTTTTAAATACAAACAGTGGCACCCGCCTTTACAACTGATGCAGTGATAATAAACGTAGGGATGCCACATCACACCTTCATATACTTAATGTGTAATATTACCGTAATAATATAAACAAGATTTATTGCCATAGTTACCTTATCGTCCTATTACAACAGATTATCACTAGGCACTATTGTTACTCGAACGCCATCAGTAGCCACTTTCTCCAGATTTATGGCATCAGTTCCTCAAACAGCAACATGATTTCTGATCATGGGATGTGACCGGTGAAGTAAACGTTCTCAGACGATTTAATTCAAGTGGCAGTTGCAGCCTTAGAATGTGGACTGCGAGACGAAAGGTAGTCGGGTAGATGTGGAGATTTTCGTTTTATATAATAATATTTTGGCATGAGACTGAACATGATTTGTTCAAGGGGCATGAGTGGCAGGAACTCTGGTTTGAAATACCTGTGTCATGTTTAGGATGCTACTGTGAATTATTTAACGACAAAGAGGAGAGTTTATCTTACCTCCATCACATTCGGAAGACCACAGATGAAAGAAACGAAGCATACAATCATAACAAGAAACTCATGGTGCTTCAGGTGTTTCTTGATCCACTTTGGAAACTCATCTTGAAGAGAAGTAATAATGACCTGTAACAAAATATTAATGTTTACTTATTCAGAAGCATTTGAGGTATAACTAGACTTGTAGATAAAATTCACTCTCCCTGTAACATCCGGGTTGGTTTTGATAAACTTTTATTTCTCTCACTGACTTCCATAATGTACTTTCGTCTAGACTTCTAAAAATATCAAGGTATCTATGCACAGGCAGACCTACTCCACCTTGATGAAAATCCTAGTTGGCAACTTCTGAGCTAAGCCTCATCATCTTTATTCATTGCAAATAGTAAATATCTTTATTACTTTATTTTTCTTTGTTTCTTTTTCGATAATTATTTTTACCAGTGGTACTATTGTACCATTTAAAAGAAAATACACAGAAATAATACTTACCATAAAATATCATAAAAATTGTCAGGGTAAAAAAAAAAGGGCAGTGCTTATGCCATCATCACGTATTAGCCAATGAGAGTATGACATGAGATATCAGATATGATTTTAGGTTCAATAGCCTAAATGGAAGTGGAGCTACCTGGTTATATGTACTTGAAGAACATACTTTTTCAGTAGCTTCCCTTAAATGCATATTCACAGGTAAGTATATATGTGTGTGTGTGTGTGTGTGTGTGTGTGTGTGTGTGTGTGTGTGTGTGCGCGTGCGTGCGTGCGCGCGCGCATCTTCAGCTTACCTCAACATTGGCAAACTGTGAGTCCAGGCCAAAGATAAGAAGCATGAAGAAAAAGAGGACGGACCACACCGCTGCATACGGCATCTTGGCGAGCGCTTGAGGGTACACTGTGAACACCAAACCTGGGCCTTGGATGAAATAACAACGCGATGACTAATATTTCTTTAGTTTTGATGACCGCAGTTCTCTACACAATACCAGGTGGTTACCTGACCAAATCATAAACAGTGACAGCGTTCTAAAACAAAGGACATTGAAGATGGTGTAAAAGAGTCCCTACCTTGGGCGACAACATCGTCAATATCTTTGCCTTGCTCCAGGGCAATGTTTCCAAGGGTTGAGAACACAATCATCCCAGACAAAAGGGACGTGAACGAGTTGGTAAGGCAGATGGCCCACGTATCCAAGACGATATTGTTGTCAAGCTTATT